CCCCCCAATCAGGGCTGCCTCGGGGAGACCTGGCTCCTCTCTGTGATGATGTGTGAAGGCCGTTTCCCAGACACAGTGAGAGTGAGCACCAGAGCCAGAGATGTGGCTCAAACTGCTCATTTTGCTTAAAGCAAAGGAAATTGGATATTCATTACTTTTTATTTACACCACAGTTTTGGAATGCTCTTATGAGAATTTTGTGGAACTATTCATTTAAAATAATTAAAAATTGAAATAAATGTTCAAGTATTTTATTCACTATTTAATGAACCAGAAGTCATTCTAGTGACTATTAAATATAATTTTACTAAATCTTTATGATAACTAACCTTGTCAGTATATTACAGGAAAGAATAGCGTATATACCCATGATAAGCGTATATATCCATAACTATATGTAGACATATACATAAATTTATAGAGGGTGTTATAAACTAGAACAAAACATTTCATGCAAAACAAAATTATTGTGGAGAAGTTGGCTACAAAAGTTAAAGTGATAAAATGATTTCTTTGAAAATTTTTAGTTTTGTCTATTTTATACAGAACTATTTGGGATAGTCCCAATTTATTTAAACCTGAGAGATTTCTAAACGAAACTAGGGAGCTGAATAAAAGTCTTGTTGAGAAAGTGTTGATTTTTGGAATGGGGATCCGGAAGTGTCTCGGAGATGTTGCACAAAGTGAGATGTCCATTTTCATCACCACAGTTCTGCAACAGCTCAAGCTGAAGAAGAGCCCCAGAGCCGAACTTGACCTGATGCCCACGAACAGATTAGTCATGAAGCCCAAACCATACCAGCTCCACGCAGAACCCCGCTCCACGGGTAGCTCGTGTTCTTAGATTCTCAGATGGGTGGAGGTGTTCTTGTTTAACTCAGAAAAATTACGGGATTTACACAGCCTTTTCTCTATGTGCGCACACTTCTTGTGTCTCTCCTTTTTCTCGTGACACCGGTCACAGTGGATTAAAAACCTCATCCTAACGGCCCCTCATTTTAGCTTAACTATCTCTTTAAAGACCTTATCTCCAAATACAGTTACATTCTAAGGTACTGGGGTTCAACATATGAATTTGGAGGAGACAATTCAGCTCATAGTAACATGTTCTGAGAAAAAAAAGACAGTGATTTAAAAATAATTGTTCAATATAGTATCCAACATTAAGTATGTGCTTCTTTAATTGAACTTCTTAATGAGCTAAGCATATGAGGAACATAAAATGGAATTGTGAAAACCAAGAATTTCTGACTAAAGCTTTAAGGGGGAGTTGCAATATAAAGGACTCGGAATCCAACAGGGAAATAAGAACCTGTTTGGGGTCTGATTCAAACAATAGAGCACTTAGGGAGGAGTGGCCCTAGAGATAATGACCATCCTGGCCAGGATGTCGCAATGGAAGCAGAGAAATTAAACAACCCGACAGACATTGAGAACTTAGTCTTTTTTTCTAAGTACAAATAAATTCAG